GGAAGCAGAATCTTTAATTGCAAAAAAGATTCATCCACAGACCATCATAGCGGGTTGGAGAGAAGCCACAAAGGCTGCAAGAGAGGCTCTGTTGAGTTCTGCAGTTGATCATGGGTTGGTATACCAGAGTACTACTGTTTTAAACATTTAGTGTTCTTTCATAACATGCTTAATGCAAGAAATCTAGAGGATACTGAAAAGCATACACAAAGATCGTCTTGCTGCCTCACCCCACTCCAACAGTCAAACCTAGATCAGCCTCCAGAGATGACCACTAAAGTTTGGGTTTTTAGTCTTTTTGTATCTATAATCAAAATAAGCAAATAAAGCAAACAGAGTATAATACTGTGTAGAGGATTTATTAGCCTCTTTTTAACTTAGTTAAATATTTAGCACATTTTTGGATGTCAGTTTTCTATGTGGTATTTTAGTAGAGTTACCCATTTGAGTATGTGGCTGGAATGACTGTATTTACTTAACCTGTCTCTAGGGGGAGATTTGTGTATTCAATTATTTTTAGCTTTATAATAACTGTGTGACATAGCCCACAAGTTTCTAAAGTGTAATTGTTGGGTCCAAAGGTAGGTGTGTGTGTTTTAAGGCAGGGTTCCCCACCCCCAAACCTGGGCTGCACAGCAGGTGAGCAGCAGGTGGAAAAATTGTCTTCCATGAAACCAGTCTGTGGTGCCAGAAAGACCAGGGACCACTGTTTTAAGGCACTTTCCACATACATTATGAAATAAGCCTCTGAAAAAAAAAATTATTGATTTACCCATCTACAGCTGTATGATAATGTTTATTTTCCACATTCTTTTATTTATTTATTTATTTTGAGATGGAGTCTTGCTCTTAGAGTTGCCCAGAATAGAGTGCAGTGGCATGATCTCGGCTCACCGCAACCTCTGCCTCCTAGGTTCAAGCGAGTCTCTTGCCTCAGCCACTCAAGTAGCTGGCACTTTAGGCATGCGCCCAGCTGATTTTGTATCTTTAGTATAGATGGGGTTTCACGGTGTTGGTCAGGCTGGTCTTGAACTGGTCTTGATCACCTCAGGTGATCCACCCTCCTCAGCCCCCAAAGTACTGGGATTACAGGTATGAGCCACTGCGCCCGGCTGTTTCTCATTCTTTCCAACATTAGATTTTTGTTTGCTTATGTGCCTCATCCCCTGCCTCCCAACCCCCTCCCGCTTTTTTTTGACATGTTGCCAGTTTGGTGGGGGAAAATAATATCCTTTAATTTGTGTTTTCTGATTACTGCTGAGGTTTACTTCTTTTCATATAGCTTACAAACTTGACCAATTAGGGTAAAATTATCTATTGATGTGAATATCTAGATAAATTTTGAAAGTAAAGTAGGGTTAATATGTGTATTTGGTTGGTTTTATTTAGTTCCGATGAAGTTAAATTCCGTCAAGATTTAATGAATATTGCGGGCACAACGTTATCCTCAAAACTTCTTACTCATCACAAAGACCACTTTACGAAATTAGCTGTAGAAGCGGTTCTCAGACTGAAAGGCTCTGGCAACCTGGAGGCAATTCATATTATCAAGAAGCTAGGAGGAAGTTTGGCAGATTCCTATTTAGATGAAGGTATGTATGAATGTCAGATACAAGAAACTTTGGTTAGATGCTGAGGGCTGAATGCTGAGTGAATTCTGTTTTGGGACCAGTGGCACTTTACAAAGCCAGTGAACTTGTCTTTAAGGACATATCATATGTGCAACCATTTCTGTCATTTTATTGACAGTGTAGTCTTCTCCCCACATATTCCAGCATTGTCGATAACCACTACGATGAAGTTATTTGCACTCTGATAAAGAGGAAATACAGCTTTCTTTTACTAGAAATCATCTGTTCTCAAATAGTATTTTTACCAGGATTATATGTATTCTCCAGGAAGGGTCTGGGTCAGTCAGATCACTGAGGATGTACAGTTGACTATTGAACAACATGGGTTTGAACTGTATAGGTTCACTCAACACAGGGTTTTTTTTCAATAAATATAGTCAACTCTTTATATCTGTAGTTTACACATGTGCAACCAAACATGCATGGAACATGCAGTATTTGCAGGATTTGAAGCACATGTATATAGAGGGTCAACTTTTCAAATTTACTGGTTCCAGGGTCAGCCTGGAACTTGAGTATATGTGGATTTTGGTGTATGTGGCCATTCTGGAACTGGTCCCCCTTGTTTGTATACCGGGGATGACTAATTTTTTTAAAAAAGAATTTAAAAAAATTCTTAAATAATTATATATGTTTATAGGGCAAGAGGATCTAGTTCTTGAAGAGTGATAAATGAGCCTTGAGTACTGTTTTCTTTGTACATTTTGTTTATAGAGTGTAGTTTTCCAAATCATTTTCACATTGTATTTATTTCACAAAATGGCTTGTCAAAAAGTATAGACATTCTCAGAGAAGGAAAAATAAAGACTTAGATAGTGCTTTACAACTTCTGCTTTTACCAGTCGTTTGGAGTCCTGGTTTTGCTCTATGTCATATGTCTTGATTTATTTTAAGAGAGTGTCATAATTCTGAAAATACTCCTGGTTAAGTTTATATATAAGAGGTGTGTAGCATTTCTTTTTTTTATTTTTGAGACAGAGTCTGGCTCTGTCGCCTGTGCATCAGTGTGATCTCGCCTCACTGCAACCGCTGCCTCCTGAATTCACTCCTGCCTCGGCCTCTCGAGTAGCTGGGATTACAGGCGTGTGCCACTGCGCTTAACTAACTTTTTTGTATTTTTAGTAGAGGTAGGGTTTTGCCATGTTGGCCAGGCTCATCTCAAACTCCTGATCTAAGGCGATCCACCTGCCTTGGCCTCTCAAAGTGCTGGGATTAAAGGCATGAGCCACCATGCCTGGCCGCTGTGTAGTGTTTCTAATAGGGACTTTTGTAGGGAAGAAGCATTAAAGCAAGAAAAGTAGCATAAGCAGCAGCATTCCTGAACGTCTGCTGTGTACTAGGAATTGTAGTAGGAACTTGAGTCATTTAGTCATCATGGTGATCCGGTGAATGAGGATCAGGTGTACTTCAGTTGAGTGGAAAACCCAAGATAATGGTGGCTTTATAAGAGAAAAGTTTCTAATGTATCCAGAAAAGGCCTGGAAAGACAGGTGGTACTGGGTGGTTTATATGACGGTTTGGTTCCAAAGCAAGAGGACTAAGTTGGTAACTAGCACCTCTGCCACTGGTTACATTCCTGTTTTATAAATTAGTATCTGTGGCTGGATAATTCGTCCAAGGTCATATAGCCAGCAGCAAGGGCATAATTGGGGTCAAGTTTATCTGACTCCATTGTCCATGGTTTTTCCATTTTTACCCCCAGCCTCAATACTTGAATGTCTGATCCTTCAGTTTTTCTCTTGTGATGATTTTAAGCTAATAAAAGTGGACTTAACCTATTGTCTTTATATTGCAACCCATACAGATGTGTGTGTAGTATATATCTGAAACAAAAGTTTCAAAATGCTATTTAATTTTACTGTCTGTGCTGTGCTCTCATATTTTCTGTTTTATACATTATTTTTTGATTTAGTAGTAACTCTTCCAGTGGGATGCTTTATACCAGGAATGCCCAAGGGAGGGAATACAATCATAGGTTCTTGGTTTCTGTTTCTGGTTGGGCCAGTAAAGCTCCTTCATCATCCCTCCTTTCTGCTTGTCACTAGAGAGAGAAACTAAAATCCATGGCTTTCAAGCTGCTAAAAACCTAAAACAAAGCAAAACGCAACAACAAAATAAGGCGGGTTGGACAAGCTTGCTTTTATACCGTCTGAGAGCTTGGAAAATTGGACTTTAATAGCTTTAGCTTTTTTGAAATAGTATTAACATAAAGCAGACAGCTTTATAAGATTTACTAAGGCTGGTTTGAAGTATTAAATGTGATACCATTCTTATATTTATTATAGGCTTTCTGTTGGATAAGAAAATTGGAGTAAATCAACCAAAACGAATTGAAAATGCTAAAATTCTTATTGCAAATACTGGTATGGATACAGACA